ATATAAAGATATATATAGTTTAAAAGGAAAGGAAAAACTTCCAACTTCCAGTCTGACATGCAAAGGCTTGGAAAATGTCACTCATCCTCAGAACAACAGCAATAAAGCTGAATTAACTGAAAACCAGTAATACTTCTTAAGTCCAACAGAGAATTGAGGTCACAGGGCAAACCACCACCCAGGAAACTGAAGAAACAGGTGAATACAGAGAATCATAGCTTACCAGAAGCAGCAACTGCTGCTAGAGTCAGCAACTGGTTCAAAAACTTTATTAGAGTAACTGCTAACTGACTAATGGCTGGAGACTGAGTATGGACGAGGTTAAGAGAGAAAAACTCCTAGAAGCCCAGCCTTAGGAAGAGATCTACCTTTTCCTGAATTCTACCTAGGAGCCCCACCAGATTCCCTTCAGGATAAAGACGAAAGAAAATTCTCCAGTGCCTCCTGCAGAGGGAGGGGGAAAGTAATTGTTGTGAAATACACTCAGAGCATTGTGCTCTCTTCAACAAAGACCTGACTTCTATGAAAACTGTTTTAAAGTATAACCAACATGGGTTTTACTAGAGCCTAATTGACATGGGGAAAGAAAAATACTCAACTTCAGACTCCTCTAGCTTTCCTGTCTCCCACATAAGTTGGGGGGGCGGGGGAATGAGAAGCACCTGTAAAGGTCACAGCCATGGATATACACCCACTAAAAGACTAAGATCTAGTCACAGGATTATAGAACACTTCTGTTCCCCCTACAACTTACCACCGTTATCAATACGGCTCCTATATTAATACCATGAGATTACAATTCAAAGCACTATAAACTGGGGCGCCTGGGTGGCTCAGTGGGTTAAGCCTCTGCCTTCGGCTAGGGTCATGATCTCAGGGTCTAGGGATCGAGCCCCGCATCCGGCTCTCCGCTCAGCAGGGAACCTGTTCCCCTCCTCCTTCTGCCTGCCTCTCTGCCTACTTATGATCTCTGTGTGTGTGTGTGTCAAATAAATAAATAAAATCTTTAAAAAAAAAAAAGAACTATAAACTTAGACTCCCTTTAATGAGTCTCTAAGGAAATGCGAAAATACCAAGGCAAACAAAAACAAGGATATCTAAATAATTTTAAATTCTGATTAATTATATCTGGGATAAAGGCTAAGGCCCTTATCCCAGATATAAAATTAGTAAATCAGTTGAACTGAATAGCACCATCAATCAGCTTGATCAAATTGACATTTACAGATTAGTTTATCTAGTGACAATTGAATATACAAACTTCTCAAGAATACACAATTCCCGTCAAGCTCATGTATAATGTTCACAAAAATGGACCACATTCTGGCCTATAAGACATACATAAACAATTTAAAAGTATAGAAATCACAAAAGATGCTCTCAGACCACAATAGAATTAAACAAGAAATCACTAACAGAAAGATAACTGGAAAATCCAAAATATTTGGAGATTAAACAACAGATGAATCAAGGAAGAAGTATCAAAAGAAACTGTAAAATATTTGAAACTGATTAAAAAAATAAAAATTACCAAAAACGGTAGAATCAGTGAGAGCAGTGCTTACAGAGAAATTTATAGTATGGAGTATGTACGTTAGACAAGAAGAGAAACTTAGAATCAGTAATCTAAGTTTTCACCTTAAAAAACAAGGAAAAGAAGAGTAAATTAAACCCAAAATAAGGAGAAGAAATAATGATAATCAGAACAGAAATGAATGAAACTGAAAACAAGTAAGTTAAAAGAGAAGTTACCACAAGCTATTTTTTGAAAGGTCAACAAAATTAATATACCTCTAGTATGGCCACCAAAAAAAAAAGATAAAAGACACAAATTACTGATATCAGAAACAAAAGAGGGGCCATCCCTACTAATCTCATGGATAATAGAAAAGAAAACAAAAGAGTATTATAAACAATTCTATGCCCACAAATTTAATGTCTTCAATAAAATGGATCAATTCCCTGAAAGACACAATACAACAAAATTCAGACAAGGAGAAATAGATAATCTGAATAGTCCTACATATATTACAGAAATTGAATAAAAAATTAATAACCTTCCAAAAGAAATCACCAGGGCTAAGTGGTTTCACTAGACTTCTATCAAATATGTAATGAAGAAATAATACAAATTCTCTACAGTCTCTTCCAGAAAACAGAAACAGAGGAAATATTTGCTAACTCGTTCCATGAGGGCAGCATTACCTAATACCAAAACCAAACAAAGACACTACAAAAAACGTGAAAGAACAGTATCTCTCATGAACACAAATACAAAATCCTCAAGAAAATAGTAGCAAATAAAAACCATGTATAAAGAGAATTTTATATCACAACTAAGTAGGATTTATTCCAGGCATGCAAAGCTGGTTCAATAGTCCAAAATTAATTAATGTGATCCATCATATCAACAGGCTAAAGAAGAAAAAATATATGATCATATCAATAGAAAAAGCATTTGACAAAATCCAACATCCATTCAACATGATATCTACCAGCAAACTAAGACTAGAAAGGAACCTCCTCAACTTTATATACAAATGAAAAAACCAACAGCTAACACCATACTTAATGGTGAGAACCTAAGAGCCTTCCCACTGAGATCAGGAATTAGAAGGATGTCCCTTTTCACCATCCCCCTGCAGTATCATATTAGAAGTCTTACCTAACATAGTAAGACAGGAAAAGGAAATAAAAGGTATAGACTGGGAATGAAGAAATAAAAACAAATTCTACTCCTACAGAATTTTACTCCTAAGTACTTACCCAAAAAAAGAAAACACACATCCACACAAAAATGTGTACATGAATGCTTACAGCAGTTCTATCCATAATCACCTAGTATGGGAAGCAATCTTGGTTAACCATTGCTGCATTACAATTACCCCAAAACTCAGCAGTTTAAAACACCAAACATGCATTATTTCACAACTTCTATGAGATAGAAATTTGGGAGGAACTTGATTGAGCACTTTGGCTCCAGGATGTTTAGGAATTTGCAGTCAAGTTATCTGAAGGAATTAATCTGAAATCTTGACAGGGGCTGACGGATCCATTCTAAGATGGCTTGCTCATATGCTATTGACAAGAGGCCTCAGTTCCTCAGAGGCTACTGTCAGGAGGCCAGAGTTCCTTGCCACACAAACCTCTCCACAGGGTCCACTGTTTCCTCACAAAATGGCACTTGGCTTTCCCCAATGAGTGATCCAAATGAGAACAAGGCACAGTCACAACGTCTTTGATCAATCGAATCTCAGAAATCACACAATATCACTTCTGCATATCCTACTAGTTCCACAGATCAATCCTGACAGTGCAGGAGAGGTCAACAGAAGGGCACAAATATCAGGAGATAAGGATCACCAGGACCATTTTGGAAGGTGGTTACCACAAACCTAATGTCCATTAACTGGTGAGTAGATAAACTACAGTACATCCATACAGTGGAATAGTAATTATCAATAAAAAGGAATAAACTACTGATACATGTAACACAATGGAAAAAAATCACAAATACTAAGTGAAAGAGCCAGACCTGAAAAGCTACGTACAGGGAAAGGCATAACTAAAAGGATATAAAACAGATCAAAGGTTGTCAGGAGCTGGTAAGGGGGCAGAAGACTGACCAGAAAGGGGCATGAGGGAATTTCTTTGGATAATGGAAATATTCTGTATTTGATTGTGATGGTATGTGTTCGTTAGAATTCATACAACTATACACCTAAAAAGGATAACTTTTATTGAACATAAATTATACCTCAAAAATTACTTATAAAAAGAAAGAGAAAGAAATCTTAAGAGGAAAAAAGAGGTCTGGTTGGGAATATTGCTATAGGAGTCTTAACGTGTAAATAACAAATTTCCAAAGGAAAAGTGACTATTAAACCAATAACATTATAAAGTTCCTCAAGCTAGAAAACTTTCTATGAGCTTTAGTCTACAGATTGAAAGTGCCCATCAAATTATAAGTCAGACAGATGAAAAAGATACACAAGTATCTTGGCATATCCTGGCAAGAATCTTAAACTTTAAGTAAACAGAAAAAGTTTAGGGACGCCTGGGTGGCTCAGTGGGTTAAAGCCTCTGCTTTCAGAGTCATGATCCCAGGCTCCTGGGATCGAGCCCCACATCGGGCTCTCTGCTCAGCGGGGAGCCTGTTTCCTCCTCTCTCTCTCTGCCTGCCTCTCTGCCTGCTTCTGATCTGTCAAATAAATAAATTCTTAAAAAAAAAAAAAATCCAAATGCAAAAAGATTTAAAAAAAAAAAAAAAAAAAAAAAGAACAGAAAAAGTTTAAATGCTTTCCAGAAAGAAAGAACAAGTCTCGGGGCGCCTGGGTGGCTCAGTGGATTAAAGCCTCTGCCTTGGGCTCAGGTCATGATCCCAGGGTCCTGGGATCGAGCCCCGCATCGGGCTCTCTGCTCAGCGGGGAGCCTGCTTCCTCCTCTCTCTCTGTCTGCCTTTCTGCCTACTTGTGATCTCTGTCTGTCGAATAAATAAATAAAATATTAAAAAAAAAAAAAAAAAAAAAGAAAGAACAAGTCTCCTAGAAAAAAAGAGAGACAAGCTTAGGCCTTCTTATTCGTAACAAAAAGGAAATGGTGAAATAGTATCCACAAATTTTTGAGAAAAGGACTGCCACCCAAAAATTCTATACTAACCAAGATTAAAATAAAATTATTTAGGAATACCCAATCACTCAAAAAGTGTATCACCCACTTATCTCATCTAGAGAAAGAGGCAACAAAAAGTGCTCACCAAGTAACTAAATCATTGCAGAGACAGAACTGGGTAAGAAGAAACCTTATGAAATATGCAGTTAAATTGAAGTGGATATTAGTAAAGCAAATGGGAACAGATATATAACAAATAAAAACTCAATTAAATTTACCTTAGAATTAAAGCATCTAAACAAAAAAGAATATTAAAGTCCAGCATTCAGCATATGAGGAAACTGTAAATAGTTATTACAAACAACTTTTTTTGTTTTGTTTTGATTTACCTGGTTTGCAAGATGAGAGTGACCAAACAGCTTGTGACCCAATTTCCCTCACTGTTCCAGTCCTTTCCAACTGCTTAGGGTCAGCACCAGGAGGTGTCTTGTTTGGTGTGGTCATTTTTTTAGATATTCTACGTAGAAAACAAAAATACCCACATTATACCAGGATCTGAGCATCTTCTACAAAGGCTAAAAATTAAAATCTAATAGCAAAATACATCACTTACATACCCTTGATATTAATCATCTATTTCTCAAATGCATGTAACATGACTCAATTATTGTAATTAAAAATCTTGGGAATTCAATTTTTGTTTCTAAAATGTATTATGGGGATGCCTGGGTGGCTCAGTGGGTTAAGCCTCTGCCTTTGGCTCAGGTCATGATCTCAGGGTTCTGGGATCAAGCCCCACATCGGGCTCTCTGCTCATCAGAGAGCCTACTTCCCCCTCTCTTTCTGCCTGCCTCTCTGCCTGCTTGTGTTCTCTCTTTCTCTGTCAAATAAATAAATAAAATCTTAAATAAAATAAAATAAAATGTATTATGACTTACAAGATGTGCACAACAGTAGAGTACAGTAGCCAAAGGGCATGGGATCAGGGTTTTAACTTCAGCCTCTCCTTTAACTAGCCTAGACTTTGGGCAGGTCTGGGCTTTATTTCCTTACCTGTAATAGGGGTCAATTTGATCTATAATTCCATAATGCTGTATAATTCTATACCTGAGTAAAAAGTCCTTTTTTTTTTAATATTTTATTTTTAAGGGGCACCTGGGTGTCTCAGTCAGTTAAGCAGCTCCCCTTGGCTCAGAGTCCTGGGATCAAGCCCCATATGGGGCTCCCTGCTCAGTGTGAACCTGCTTTTCCCTCTCCCTTTGCTCCTCCCCCTGCTTGTGCTCTCTCTCTTTCTCTCTCTCTCTCTGTCAAATACATAAATAAAATCTTCAAAAATAATAATAAAGATTTTTAAGTAATTCCTATATGCAACATGGGGCTCGAACTCACAACCCTGAGATCAAGAGTTGCATGCACCATCAGCTGAGCCAGTCAGGCTCCCCTCTGAGTAAAAATTCTTTATTCAAATGACTTTTTTCTTGGAAATATTTATATTCCAAGAATATGTAAATATTAGTTTCCATTTTATTTATTTTGAATGTAAATTTACTTTGATAATTTATTTTATTAAAGTATAAATAACATACAGTGTTATATTAATTTCAGGTGTACAGTATAATGATTCAGCAATTCTATACATTTCTCAGTCCTCCTCACAGTAAGTCTCCTCTTTTCTTTAATTTTAATTTTTTTTTAAAGATTTTATTTATTAATTTGAGAGAGAGAGAAAGCATGAGGGGGAGAAGGTCAGAGGGAGAAGCTGACCCCCCCATGGAGCTAGGAGCCCAATGCGGGACTCGATCCTGGGACTCCAGGATCATGACCTGAGCTGAAGGCAGTTGCTTAACCAACTGAGCCACCCAGCTGTCCCTAATTTTTATTTTTAAGTAATCTCTACACCAACGTGGGGCTCAAACCCACAACCCCGAGATCAAGAGTCCCACCTTCCAAATGCAAGCTGGTGTAGCCACTCTAGAAAACAGTACGGAGGTTCCTCAAAAAGTTAAAAATAGAGCTACCCTATGACCCAGCAATCACACTACTGAGTATTTACCTTAAGATACAAATGTAGGGATCCGAAGGCGCATGTGCACCTGAATGTTTATAGCAGCAATGTCCACAATAGCCAAACTATGGAAAGAACCTAGATGTCCATCAACAGATGAATGGATAAAGATGTTGTGGGGTGGGGTGCCTGGGAGGATCAGTGGGTTAAAGCCTCTGCCTTTGGCTCAGGTCATGATCCCAGGGTCCTGGGATCGAGGCCCGAATCAGGCTCTCTGCTCAGCAGGGAGCTTGCTTCCTCCTCTCTCTCTCTCTCTCTCTCTGCCTGCCTCTCTGCCTACTTGTGATCTGTCTGTCAAATAAATAAATTTAAAAAATAAAATAAAATTTCTTAAAAAAAAAAAGATGTGGGGTATATATATAATGGAATACTATGTAGCCATCAAAAAATGAAATCTTGCCATTTGCAACTATGTGGATGGAACTAGAGGGTATTATGCAAACCGAAATAAGTCAATCAGAGAAAGACAATTATCATATGATCTCTCTGATACGAGATATCTGAGAGGCGGGGGGGTGGTAGAAGTTATGGGGGTAGGGAGGGAAAAAAATGCAACAAGATGGGACCGGGGAGGAAGACAAACCATAAGAGACTTTTAATCTCAGGAAACAAGCTGAGGTTGGGGGGGGTCAGGGCAGGAGAGACAGGGTGGCTTGGTTTTGGACACTGGGGAGGGTATGTGCTATGGTGAGTGCTGTGAACTGTGTAAGACTGATGATTCATAGACCTGTACCCTGAAGCAAATAATACATTATGTGTTAATAAAAAAAAAAAAAAAGAGTCCCACCTTCCACCAAGTGAGCCAGCCAGGTGCCCCACAATAAGTCTACTCGCAATCCCCTTTATCTGTTTCACCCATTCTCCTACCCACCTACCCTTTAGCAACTACCAGTTTGTTCTCCGTATTTAAGAGTCTGTTTATTTTTTGGTTTTGTTTCTTAAATTCCACATGAGTGAAATCATGTGATATTTGTCTTTCTCTATCACATTTATTTCACTTAATCTTATACCTTCTAGGTCCACCCATGTTGTTGCAAATGGCAAGATCTCATTCTTTTTTATGACTAATATTTCATCATGTGTATGTGTGTGTGTGTGTGTGTACCACATTTTCCTTATCTATTTATCTACTGATGGACATTTGTGTTGCTTCCACATATTGCCTATGGTAAATAATGCTGCAGTGAATGCAGGGGTGCATATATCTTTTCGTATTAGTGTTTTTGCTTTCTTTGGGTAAGTTACCCAGTAGTGGAGTAACTAGATTATATGGTAATTCTCTTCTTAATTTTTTGAAAAGTAATTAATTAAAACACTGTTTTCCATAGTGCCCAATTCACGTTCTCTCCAACAGTGCACAAGGGTTCCTTTTCCTCCAACAGCCTTGCTAACACTTCTTATTTCATGTCTTTTTTATTCTAGCCATTCTGACAGGCATACCGTGATTATCTCACAACAGAAAATGAAAAGATTCTCAACATCACTAATCATCAGAGAAATACAAACAAAACCACAATGAGATACAGGTCTCCACTTTAAATAATCCATTAAGTGATACAAAGAAAAATTACTTCTCCCAAGTTGCCAAAAGTTCCATTTACATGACATAGAAGATGTCAGAAAAATGGTTTCAAAGCATAGAAGTGAATAAATGACCCATTCTAAACCTCAAAATTTACTTCTTTTGTTATCTTGGTAAATCTATGCAGACATGAAAAAAAAATCTCCAGTAGTGAGCAATATGTAAAACAGCTTACATAGTGCAGTTACAGACACTGAACATGGTTATATACGCTATTAGAAACCTCACCCAGTAATTCAATATACCATCTCCTTGACACCTTTTAGATCTCAGTTGTTTCCTAATCTCCACACAGCACATGATACTCATTAAAGAGTGGAATCCCTAGACTGTAAAATTCAGAAAGGCCTGAGACTTAAATGCTCAATTAGCAATTTACTGAATGAATAAGTGCAGTCCTAAGCCAAAGTATGCACCTTCTACAAGCTAAGGAAGGACTAGGATGAGACAAGTAAACTGTGACTATCACTAGAAGCTGAATATCCTGTCGCTGTCAACCGTTCCAAAACGTCAAACTGGACAAAAAAAGGAAAGAAAGAAAGAAAGGAAGGAAGGAAGGAAGGAAGGAAGGAAGGAAGGAAGAGAGAGAAAGAAAGAAAGAGGAAGGAAAGAGGGAAGGGAGGGAGGGAAGGAAGGAAGGAAGGGAGGGAGGGAAGGAGGGAGGGAGGGAAGAAGAGAGGGATGGAAGGAGGGAGGGAGAGAAGGGAAGGAAGGAGGGAGTGATGGAAGGAGGGAGGGAGAGAAGAGGAGGAAGGGAGGGAAGGGCTCATCTCCTCACTGGAACAGAATTCAACTGCCCGACTTGGTACTGGACGCCACCAAGTGGATAAAACACGGAGCTCGGAAAGCCTGGGTTCCTGGCCACCCACTTAAGAATGGGCTGAGGCCAAGGAGAGATCGCCATCACCAGTATTTGGACCAGATTCTGCTGATCCCACTTGACACCTCTGCTAGAAATGCCAGAATGGGCAATGGCTCTCCAGCTGCCTTGGGATCAGGAGGGAAAAAGGGGGATCGAGAACTGGGATGAGAACGCGTCTACTTGCGCTAGAACCAATCTCCACATGGTGGGGGGTGAGGGGAACCCACGCACTTACAGCTTACAGACCCGGCTTGCAGCAACCCAGCTTTTTAGGATGCCCTGCAGCTCCGTGCCACTCCCACTCAGGACAGCCCGGCTTTCCCAACGACGTTAAGTTGGAGTCGCAGCTCAATGACGTCAGTTCTCGCCGGCCGGACCAAGTCCCGGGCTCCGCCTGTCGCTCTCTGTCGCGCGCGCGCACTACGTTCCTAAAGCATGCGCGAGGCGGTGGCTGAGTGCCGCCATTTTGGCCGGTGGCCGTAGGAACGCGTTGTGTGGGGGAGAAGTGAGAGGAAGAACAGATTTGGCCTCTGAGCTCCCCTCCGCGAGGGGAGGGATCGTTTTCTCCAGGTACGTGACTAGCCCGGGAGGGTTTGGCGGTTGACTGCGGCCTCACACGGTTTAAAGACTGTAGGGGCATTCTCTGAGAGCCTTTGGCGAGGCCTCTGGTGGCGGCGGCGGAGAACGCTGCGGCGCGCGGCAGCCGGCTGGGAAGGGACAGCTGGAACCGCCAGAGCGGGGGCGCCGCCGAGGGTTTGGAGGCACGTCACTCCTCACCTCCAGCTGACCTGGACCTCGGCCACTGTTGCTCGCCACCCGCTCAGGGGCTACCAGAATGGACTTAGATGCCATCTCAGAGATCCAGATACGACCGTCTCCACTCCCCTTTGACTACACTCTTGCCCGAAAGCTGAATCTTACAGAGAAGGCAACTTCAGAACTTAAAGCATCCCTTTTTCCCCCATCCTTACCCTGACACAGCAAAATGGATATATTGTCACACGTGTCTATTTGATTCTAGGAAGTCGTAGCCTTTTCTTCTACGGCTTCTTTGGTAATTATGGAATGAGTCATGGCATTTTGCCGCCATGGAGTCGAATCCTCCGTTCCCCGTCTTTATAGAAATAATGGGCAGTTGTCGCTCTGCTTTTCTCTTAGAGTAACGTGTATTCGGTTATCCCAAGTAATCTCCCAGTTCAGTGTCTGTATCTTTTTTGGTGCGCTTTTAAAGCACTTGGCACTTTCTTCTTGGTGACTTGTGTTCCCTGTCTTTATACAAACTGCAGGAGATCAGGAGCGCGAAGGCGCCTGCTTTGTAGACATGATGGCTAAAGCCAATTCCCACATCCCATAAAATACGAAAACCTGTTTTCTCCCCCCCCCCTTTTTTTTTTGGTAGTAAAGTCCATAAGAGTGAGAAATAACTGTCAAAAACAATGGGGAGGAGTGTGGGAGGGGTTATGCTGGGGGTTTTTTGTTGTTGTTTTACCCTCTCTCCCACAGGGACTGCTAGCTAGGCATTTATGATAGTGGTAGTTGTGTTGCATTTATCAGTACATTTGTCTCATATACTGAAAATATTCGTACTGTATCAGCTACCTGACAGTAATGTTTCGTCAGTGTTAACCAAGGGCTCTTATCAGTATTTGTACCAAATACGGTTTTTTTTGTGTGTGTTTAAAATCTTGTTATGCCCCTTAAAAACATTTTAAGAACATTTAATAAATTTTTGAAAGAGTAAAAAAGTATTAATTGGGTGTCCCTTCTAAACCTGTTCAGTTTAAGACTCTGAAATCAAGAATTGTGCACCACTCCCAACTTACATGTTTTATAAGACTAATAACTTACAGTAACCATAGGCTGGAATATTTTATGTGATATCAGGCGTCATTTGTTCACAGCAGTCTTTTAAATGCTTTCACATGATGTTATGATAATTTTGGTCTTAGACCAAAAATGCTTTCCATAATGCCTCTCACTTCCTTTTTTCCTCCCAGCTGGAAGAATGACAGTGAGGGTCATTATTTGAGTACCTGTTTTGAGCAGTTTGTCTTCAGATCTGAAATATCTTCAAGTTCCTCTTGTCTCCAGCAGTCTGTTACTACCCCCACCCCTGCGGCTTTACTGTGCTATATGTCACTGAAAAAGAAAGTAGGGATCCCTCCTCCCCAGTTCTTGAAAATAATATACAAATTTAGTCATTATTGTTGACACAAGTCAGAGTTCTACAAAGAATTTATATTCCTTAGTCTTAAATGGATTATAATTTATCTCTATTTCTTATACAAATCAGCTTATTAATTATCTCTGGTATGTTTTTATTTTTCTATACATCATCACTTTCAGTCATTTGGTTTTTAAAATGGTTTGAAATATCAGATGAAACACTTTAGTAATATGGCAGAAATAAAGTTTAGCATCAGCAATTTTGTGATAAAGGATTTATCCTGTAGAAGGAACTTCATGACATTCATTCACCAAGTAATTTGTATGGCGTACAGCTTTATTTTAATAACTAAAAACTCTTCAGTTTTTGAGTGAAAGTTTTTTTGTAGCAATTCAAAAGTCATTTAATTTCTTTCTCTTCTAGTCGTTATGAAAACTCGACCAGTTTTTAAGGTTTTAAGGAGGTAGAGTGGATCTTTTAGTTACCATAATTCTCTTTATTACATAAATACTTAGTCTCCTCTTGGGTAATTTTTTTTTCCAGTATATACTTTAGTGGATAACTGTCACTATGAAATATTGACAATATTTCTGAAGTCAGTTTAACCTATCAGAAATTATTTACTATATCCAAATTCATTTTCTCGTTTATTCAACAGAAATATTTGAGCTTTTATGATGTGCTGGGCACTAGTTTAGCCATTGGGCTGAACATACAAGAAATCCCTGCCCTCATGATGGAGTATCTTTTACTTGGGGTGGGAAAAATATTGTGTCGAGAGAAGGAGTATATACATACATGTATATACACACAATAAATATGTGCATAAACCATGTGTACCCATATATATGAAGTACATACTGTGTGGTATAGTAGAAAGCACTAAAGAAGCAAATCAGGGAAGAAAAAAAAATCATTAGGGTATATTTTTTGGTAGTATAGTTAGAAAATAAATATTAGTATAGTTAGAAATAAACTATAGTTTATTTCTATACTATATTATACTATACTCTACCTATACTCTATACTATAATATACTATATTATACTATACCTATATTATAGGTAGTATAGTTAGAAATAAGCATTAAAGACTTGAAGTAGTGAGTCTTGTAACTCACTAGGGGGAATAGCATTAGAAGCAGAGGGAATAGAAAATGTTAGGGCCGTGAAGCAAGAACATGTCTGATGTGTGCTAAGAACAGCAGGGAGCCAGTGTGGCTGGAGCAAAATGAACAAGAGCTAGAGTAGGTGGAGATGACATCAGGAGGTAATAGAGGCTGATCAGTACCTCATTAGTTATTTTAAGGACTTTGGCTTTTATTCAAAATGAGTAGGGAAGCCGCTGCAGGTGTTGAGAGGAGTGACATGATCTGACTTATACTTAAAAAGGATCATCCTGGCTTGCGTAGTGAGAAGGAACCGTCAAGAGTTGAAGTAGAAGGAGGTAAGAGTAAAGCAGAAAGACCTGATAGGAAGCTATTAGAGTAATGCATATGAGAAATAATGGTGGCTTAGACCACAGTGATGAGAAGTGGTCAGATTCATGAAGGTAAATTGGACAGAATTTGCTATTGTGGCATGTAAAAGATAACTTCAAGAATTTTGGCTAGAGTAAATGGAAGACTGGAGTTGTCATTTAACAGAATGGGCAAGACTGCTAGAGAAGCAAATTTTGGTGGGGACTTAAGGAATTCGGTTTGGGAGATGCATGTTAGACCTTCAGGAAGAGATGTTGGGTAGTCAGGTAGATAGATATATAATTTTAGGGTTAGGAGAGGTATCCTGGCTAGAGATAGAAATTGAGGAGTTAACAGCATATAAATAGGATTTAAAGCCATGAGATCAGAATAGAATACCTTAAAGAATGAATATAGATTAAAAAATGTGACTATTAGCGCACCTCTCAACTTTCAGTAGCCCAGAAGATGAGGAAAAGTGACCAAGAAAATAGGAGGAAAATCACATTAGTGCTGTGTCCCAGAACCAAGTTAAGAAAGGTTTTCTATCTTTAGGAAAACATCATAAATTGTGTCAGATGCAGTAAGTATTCAACTAAGTTAAGAACCATTAACTAGCTATTTGTTTTACCTGTATATAGAGTAGCAATGACCTGATAAGGTGTTTTGATAGAATAATGGGCACTAAAGTCTGAAATGGAGTCCAGAAAAAATACATAGGAATTTGGAACACTGACTATAGGCAACTCCTTGAAGTAGTCTTGATATAAAAGGAAGGAGAAATAAAGAAATGGGAAAAGATAGAGTCAGATAATAGAATGTTTGAATGCTGATAGGAACCAGCCAGTGGAAAGAATAACTTAAGATGTGGAAGACGGGAGAGAATTGTTAGAATATTCCCCTTAGCAGATGTCTTTTAGTGTGCAAGTAGCCTTCACTGTCCACCAAATACATATAATGTGATTGCTGGTTGGCATAAGGGCTCACTAATCAGCATGGCTTGGCTTTTTGTCTACCCATTTTCAGCTTTATGTGTGCAGATGAAGAGTGGTATGTAACCAGGATTGTAGTAAAGCGTATAAATGACTGAGAGGGGTATTTAGTCAGGTACAGAGGGACAGGAAGATACAAAAGCTGAGGGATAGTGAAAATGTGATAGAATCAAAAGATGCAATAAGTGTAGGGAATGGGGGAGTTCAAAGGGTTGTTGGACTATTGGGTACAACTGAAAAGATAGGGAGTGGTGGTTGAAAAATGGGGTATTTGAAATGGAGGTTATAGAAGGATTGCAGTTACTGGTAATAACAAGGTCAAGGATTTCACCAAAGGAATGAGAAGGTTGAGGGAGGGTGAAAGAAAGATCACTGGAGGAGAGAGGTTACTGAACTAAGAAGACAAGCTGTTAATACAAAGATCATCTATGAGCATGCTGAAATCAAAAATTATGACAGGAGCTGTAAAAGAGAGTGTAAAATAGCCCAGAGTAGTCCTTAAATGGAAGGGAGAGATTTGATGGTTAGTGAATGACTAAAGTAGTTTGATGATCAGCGAAGCAAAAGCTGACTTTTTAGTGAGGAGAGGAGATATAAGATAGTCTGGGAGCAGCACTGAGGAACATGCTGTTTTATCCCTCTCCAAGCCTAATGATATTACAGCATGTGAGAAAGACAGGTCTACAAAGGGAAGCAGTCAGTCAAAAAAAAAAAAAAAAAATCAGAATTATCACAGCCCTTGATAGAAAAAGCCAACAGACTGTCTTTGTCACTGGGTAGTCTTTTGGCTTCAGGGTCTACCATTACATACTGGAATAACCTGGAATTTCAAGATAGTTTTTGGAATTACTTGCTTGAATCACTATGCTAAGAAATCTGATGTCTGTCACAAAGCCCAGTATTGTAGAAGATTTTTAAGTTCACTTTGACCTTAGTTGCATAATTGATGGCACTGTGAATTATCAAGATTTATAAAAGCTTTAAAAGTGAGCACAGTCTATACTTACGGTTCCTTGGTCCTCTTTTCCTTTTAATGTTGTTAGCATAAAATCCACCATGGCCATATTACAAATTCCCAGAGAAATGCAGTTTTATTTTTTCCCTTTGATGAACATCATGGTCACACACAGCCTTAATAATAACTTCCATTAGTAGCATCATTAATAATCAAATAAGACATGAAGTAATACTTAACTTGAGGGAGGGAATAAACATCTTTATTATGTATTTTTCACATCAGCTCCTATTCTGTTTTATTGGACTGTATCAGACACTGGTATCGGTATTAATTACGGAGACATTAGATCATTTTTGTCCATCTAGCAAATATAGTTTCCCCATCCCTTTTGTTCTTTTTCCTTTTCCTAGCCTTTTTTTTGGGGGGGGGGGGGCATACAAGCTTTCGGTTTAGTTTGTTTTGTTTTGTTTTTCTTTGAAATTGGATTAAATATAAATTTAGGGAAGGTTGAAATCTCTGGTATTGACTATTCTATATTATAAAAACTGAGACAGTATGTCATTCTATTTTTTCAGGTCTTTTATGTTTCTCAGTTATGGTTTGAAAGTTTCCTCATATGTATATATTTTTGTTAACTTGATTCCTAGATCTTTTCTTTTTTGTGACCATTGAAAATGGTGTTTTTTCTTTTTTTATATAAATCTTCTGATTAGTAGTATATATGTAAGATATTGTTTTCTCAGCCCTACAAAATGACTTTATTGCTTTTACTAGTTTTTTTAGTAGTTCCAGATAGTCATATCTGAATATAGTGATAAATTATGTTCTCCTCTCTAACTTCTGTGCCGTGACTCAATTCTCTTAACTAATTGCATTGACTGTGCATAATTTTGTTAATTTTTCTTTAATAGAAGAGCTGGATATTCTTACTTTATTAGAATTATGGCGGATAAATTAACAAGAATTGCTATTGTCAACCATGACAAATGTAAGCCTAAGAAATGTCGGCAGGAGTGCAAAAAGAGTTGCCCTGTGGTTCGAATGGGTAAGCTGTTCTGTGGATCATTTAAAGATAAAACAAGGTTTTAAAAGAAATAAATTGACTTCATAGTTCTCTAGGCATGTACTTTTTTCCTATTAGTTTCTTTAAAGTATAGAGATAAGACCAGATTTCTTTTTTTTAAGATTTTATTTATTTATTTGACAGAGATTACAAGTAGGCAGAGAGGCAGGCAGAGAGAGAGAGAGAAGGAAGCAGGCTGTCAGAGGAACAGAGAGCCCGATGTGGGGCTCGATCCCAGGACCCTGGGATCATTACCTGAGCCGAAGGCAGAGGCCTTAACCCACTGAGCCACCCAGGCGCCCCGAGATAAGACCAGATTTTACTCTTAATTTTTCTTACTGCTTTGTGACTAAATGGTCCTGCTTTGTTAATGGTAGAATAATGTATTATTATCAATATTTTTTAAAGTTAATTTTGGCTATAAAATCAGTTACTGAGATTCTTGCTGTTCTAGAAAAGTTCTGTAATTACTCTAAGTCATGGAGAAAGGAATACCAAAATACTTGTTTTTGATAGTATTCTCATTTTAAAAAGCAAGAATGAACAGCTTAATAAGAATGGCTAATTCATGAGGTTTTGCTATATTTTCAAGATTAAATAAATTTAAAAATAGTCCAGAAGTATTGGTAGTCTTTAAGGGTTATGTTAAGGTAATTATTACTTTTACTGTATTAGTGAAGTACAAGCTTTTTGAATCTTAAAAGAAACTTTAGATGTCATCCATTATATTCTACCATGCTGTTTAGAAATTCCATTATTAATATCCTTAATGTCAAGTTTAATTTTGTGTGTATGTTGGATGACTACATACCTTTTTGGAATTTCACTGATGTAGCTATGTATTATATGCCTTTTGCTGGAATACCATTTCCAAGGCATATTTTGTGAATTAGATATTCAGGTCAGACAGCTTAAAAATAAAACTGTTGGGGGGAGCACCTGTCTGGCTCAGTCAGAAGAGCATTCCATTCTTGATCTTGGGGTCATAGGTTTGAGCCCCACCATGAGAGTAGAGATTACTTAAATAAATAAATTTAAAAAAAAATAAAACTTTCAGGATCTGCTGTAGTTCTAAATTTTCTTCCCTAATAGTAATATATACTAATTGTTTTATAATTAATTCCTGCAAAGCACTGTTTTTTGTTTTTGTTTTTAGATTTTATTTATTTATTTGAGAGAGAAATACACAGTGAAAGAGGGAACACAAGCAGGAGGAGTGGGAGAGGGAGAATCAGGCTTCCCGCCAAGTAAGGAGCCTGACATGGGGCTTGATCCCAGCACCTGGGATCATGACCTGAGCCGAAGGCAGACGCCTGACAACTGAGCCACCCAGGCGCCCCAGCACTGGTTTTTAGGATATTGTCTCAATTGTATTTCTTTGTGTGGCCTCTGTTTTTGAAAATCTGCTTCTCTATGGAGCTTTGGAACCAGAATTACCTAAGTAACAATGTTAAGAAAATTAGAATGGCAGGGAAAATAACCTAACTCTCTTTTTCTTTTGCCAGGAAAATTATGCATAGAGGTTACACCCCAGAGCAAAATAGCATGGATTTCTGAAACCCTTTGTATTGGTTGTGGTATTTGTATTAAGGTAAGTGATATTTTATTTATGGGATCAAATTTGGAACCTGAGTAGTCAGAAAATTCTGAATACACTATAAGTATTTTTAAAGAGGCAAAATATAAAGCAGTGAGTTAAAAATGTTAATTTAAGAAAATTTTCAATAATCTAATATTTAATATTGTTGCTTTTGAATTAATTAAACCACCCTATGTAAAAGTTATCCTTGCCTTACTCAACTTTGGAAAGCCATTTCCAACCAAAATTAATTTCTCTTTTTCACCCCTTTTTTTCCCTCACCCTTTTATGAGAAGGACATTCTTTCCCATGTCTTTACAAGTACTTCTTGGAAATGTAAACACAAAAAGCGTGAGTCATGTTATATATAGTTCTTTCAGGTCTGTATTTAATTTTAAATCACACCTTTTAAAGAGAAATGTGTACAGCCAAAATTTTAATTTAACCTAATCCTTAAGTGCTTCTGCTATATTATCCATTCTTCTGTTGGAGTTACCACAATAGTGTTATTTTTCAGAATACCTCAGTTTTTGTTGCATTGAATAGTTTGGTTAGAGTTTATAACTTTAAAATGGTAGATTTCCAAATTTAGCTCATAAGCAATATTTAACAACCAGTATATTAAATTCTTAATTTAGGTATTTTTACTTGTAGATAATATTTTTAGAAAGGAACTTTACCAGAGTATAGGTACCACCCTGTTAACTGAGTCTAATAAGGCTTATATATGTTTCACATTGGTTTCTGATTCCTTAGTTAAGTATCCAGAAAGATTTCCTTGGTATCTAAAAGTTTTTTCCCTTGTTTTGAAAGTGTAATCAGGAAACATTCCTGCCAGCAAACATTTACTAATTTCTAATTATATGCCTGTCAGTGTTGTGGGTGCTGGAGATTTGATTTTGAACAATGTATTATCTTCTCTCTTTTCTTCTTCACTGCTGTAGAAAAATGAGATCCCAAATTTTGGGGTATACTTCAGTAGCTGAAAAGATACTGATGTGATGAATCTGGGGGTAGGGGTTTGTACCTTCTGAACACTAAGATATGTACAAAATGTACCTCACAGATAATCAGTATGGATTTTTTTTTTCCTTGTAGATTTAAAGAAGCTTAGATTCCTTTGCAGCCTATAAATATTTTATGTACATTGATAGAATAATAGGAAATTTTTGTAAATGGAGGTAACTTCATTGGCAGAAAACTATCTTGTGTAAAGAAATCATAGTTTTGGTTGGAGGGTGGTAATTACATTGTTAGAATATAGGAGTTTTGTTTTTGTTTTTTAATTCTCTGTGTTCTTATAACATGGGAATTCACTGAAATCTTTACCTGCAGAGACTTTTTAATTGATTCTCTCAGGTCTTTGAACAGTTCTGCTAAACAGATCTCTAATCTAGGGTTATATTCTTTGGATGTACCTTTATAAATTTCTGAGAAATTTTTCTAATCACACTGATGCTCTTAAATAACCTTCCAGTTCTTGCCATTCTTGTTCTTTGGACATTTATCTGATTGATAATCAGTTGTTATTTGAGTTTATTAATGAATTAATTTTTTTTTAAGATTTTTTATTTATTTGACAGAGAGAGATCACAAGTAGAGAGAGAGAGAGAGGAGGAAGCAGGCTCACTGCCTAGCAGAGAGCCCGATGTGGGACTCGATCCCAGGACCCTGAGATCATGACCTGAGCTGAAGGCAGAGGCTTAACCCACTGAGCCACCCAGGCAGCCCTGAATTAATTTTTTTAATGTGAATTTACTCAGTTGGAATACAGAATATCAATTTCACATGAGATGATTTAAAAACCGTGATGAAAAGACATTAATCCTTGCTCTGTGCAAATATTACTCTAGCTGTTGATGGTATATAAATAGACCCAAAAAAAGTGCAATCCATAAAGGACTAACCGTAAGCCTAACTAAACCTTAACCAAGAGACCTTAAGGGACTCTACGAAGTAGGGGAAGAAAGCATACAAAAACAGGAAGAAGGAAGTAGTGATAAGTCATCTGTCATCAACTGCGTATGGAATGATATACTCAGTAACCATGTTTTATCTTGCCTCTTAGCAAGATAATGTTAAAAAAGAGAAAATAAAACCCTCAATTTTTGTAAGGTTTTTCAGTAAATATTAAAAACATGTTAAAGTCTGAAAATACACTAGTCACTAAGAAGAAAATTTATTATTGTGATTCTTGTCTTCAAGGAACTGAACTTTTATTGTTAAAGTAAATAAGAAAAGAAAGTGAAGCAATATCGTATCTTTGTGAAATTCCCAAATTTGGGTGGGGTTGTTTTTTTAAGTTTATTATTTTTTTTAATACCTACACCCAGTGTGGGGCTTGAACTCAAGACCCCAAGATCAAGAGTAACATGTTCTCCCAGCTGAACCAGCAGGCTCCCCATAATTACCACATTTGGAAGATTGCTTATTAAAAAAATTCTTAATATATTTTAGTCATATATATACATATATGTATGTATATATTTTTTCTTTAAAGATGTATTCATTTATTTTAGAGCACATGTGGGGTGGGGAGGGCAGAGGAGGAAAATCTCAAGCAGACTCCCCACTTAGTGCAGAACCTAACATGGGGCTCTGTCCCACAACCCTGAGATCATGACCTGAGCTAAAATCAAGAGTCAGATGCTTAACCAATTGAGCCACCCAGGCACTTCAGTCATATGGTATACTAAAAATTAACACAAAATTCTTTACTTTAAATAACAGAAATGCCCCTTTGGCGCCTTATCAATTGTCAATTTACCAAGCAACTTGGAAAAAGAAACAACACATCGATATTGTGCCAATGCCTTCAAACTTCACAGGTATATCTTCAAGTCAACATATCTCTTTACTTCGGTCAAAAGTAAAATACATTTGGAATTTTCAGTGAAGTATAAAAATGGGAAAAGGTATTAACTGTCCACTAAAGAGAAATGCAAAACTATAACTCGGACAGAATCAAACTGTATATGTCAGTGGTTCATTCTGGCTAACATTAGAATTACCTGGGATTTTTTTTTTTTTTTAAACTAATACCTTGATTTCAGCCCAGTTGAATTACAATTACATCACATCTCCAGTTACAGAATCTAGACCTCAGTAAGTTGTAAAAGCTCCCAGGGGATTCAGATATACAAGTGAGGTTGAGAATCACTATTGTTAATAATACCCTTATCCCCAAAGTAACTTTTAAGGGAACTTGTTCTCTATTTATCCATTAATCTCACATACAGAGGATATTACTCTGAACTTGGACATATATTGTTAAATCACAGGAGTTCTTTGAGGTTTTTAAATCTGCTAAACACTGATATTTTGAATCTGGGAGTCTAGATTTACTAATAAAAAAGTATTTCTCAACCTGTCAGCTTTAAAGAGCCTACTGCAACAGGGAGAATGAAGTGGAATATTTCTGGTTGATGTGGCACTTTTCTCCTTGTAAGTAAATGGCAGGCAAAAAAAAAAACAACAAAAAACGACGACAATGTGAGGTTGCACCTGCTATGTAATTTTGTACCAAAGCATTTGGTTAGACCTTAAAACTCAGCCTTATATGTAAAGGAGAATTACTTTAGAGTGGACTTGAATGAAAACTGAAAAATAAAATTTGGAGTAATATTGGTCATGGATGTATTTCTAACGATTAACGGTTTAAGTTAATCTTGGCTGTTTTTTGTTTTGTTTTTTTTTTCTCTAATAGCCAATAATATCTGGCATATATCTCTTAGCTTATTAGTGGATGTGTGTGGAGTGCATGTGCATTAAAATACATGATCCTAATATGTATCTTTTTCTACCTAAGTCCAAGTTGTTTTATTATTTTCTTACATACTTACAACAGGTTGCCTATCCCTCGTCCAGGTGAAGTTTTGGGATTAGTTGGAACTAATGGAATTGGAAAGTCAACTGCTTTAAAAATTTTAGCAGGAAAGCAAAAGCCAAACCTTGGAAAGTATGATGTATGTATACCACCTTATGAAAATGAGTATGTAGGTCAGTTTTATGAGACTTTGAAGGAGAGTATATAATTTTTTTAAATGTTCTTATTTTCAACATTATTAATTAATGCTGAGAAACTATATATGGATGAAACTCCTTTTTAATTAAGATCTGTTAATGCTACTTAACTGACAAATCTGAGTTTTCTTAAACTGTTAGCCATCTAAACTTAAGATGCCTGAGGATTCTCTTTGGATATAGAGTTGATCCTTGAACAATGCGAGTGTTATGTGTGTTGACCCCCACATATAGATTCGAAAGTCTGTATTTAACTTTTGACTTCCCAAAAACTTAACTATTAAGAGCCTGCTGTCAACCAGAAGCCTTAGCAAGAACAATCAATTACTTATTTCACATATGTATTATTCTTGTATCCTTATGGTAAAGTCTGCTAGAGAAAAGATGTTATTGAGTAAATCATAAGGAAGAGAAGAAACACTTACAGTACTGTAATTATCAAAAAAATTCACACATATTGTTCAGAAGTCAATTGTAAAGTCATCCTTTTTGCATTATTGCGTATTACTAAATTCAAATAATTATATTTCTAGGATCCCCCTGATTGGCAAGAAATTTTGACTTACTTCCGTGGATCTGAATTGCAAAATTACTTTACCAAGATTCTAGAAGATGACTTAAAAGCCATTATCAAACCTCAGTATGTAGACCAGATACCCAAGGCTGCAAAGGTCAGTTACTCTTAGAGGAATTTATGTATTATGCATATTTGTAGAGGTATCAAAAATGTATCAAACTAAACTTGTTTTACTTGGTAACTCATTTGAATATTGAAGGAAAAAAGCTAACTATTTCTGGTATATTGTGACAGGGGACAGTGGGGTCTATTTTGGACCGAAAGGATGAAACAAAGACACAAGCAATTGTATGTCAGCAGCTTGGTAAGTGTTTATTTTGTGTATATGTTTTAATAGGCCCTGAACTTAACCTCATAAAGATGTCTTTTATATGGATTGCTGAAATTAATGGGAAAATTTTTTAGTAATTGTCATATTTACATTCTGTGTTAACACAGTTTTCAACTGAGACATCATTCACACCCAGAATGATGTACAGTATACGTTTTGCCTAGAAGAGGTAAAATAAAACTTCAACATTGAACACAATGCCTCCTTTATGTTCTTTGTAGATTTAACCCATCTAAAAGAACGAAATGTTGAAGACCTTTCAGGAGGAGAGTTGCAGAGATTCGCGTGTGCTGTTGTTTGCATACAGAAAGCTGATATGTAGGTTGCTTTATACTTTTTGTATATCTTAATCCTTATTTTAGAGTTTTTATTTGTGATACTGCTAATAAAGCAGTGCTTTTGAGAGAAATTAACAGAATAGTATCTCAGGTTCTCCTTTTGAGGTAGGATATTGTAGCAGTTATGCATCAGTTGCCCATTCCTGTTATTCCCGCAAGGGGACAATAACTCATTTATTTAAGATAAGTACTTTACAACTTACGGATTGCAGCATTTTTTAATATAACTAGTTGCTTATTATTTAAACTCTATACATGAAAGGATTTTTTCTTTTTTTTTTTTTTAAATAATCTCAAGTAGAATATGAGGTCTTTTAGGTTACCCTAAAAGAGTGGAATGCCATGTGAGAAAAAAAGGAAGAAGTTTCCTTCCTACTTTCCGGTGCCTCTCTTCTCCGAGATATTTTTTGCTCCCATCTTTTTCCACATTTCTGCTCTGGCATCCAATGCAGAGTCAGTCTTTTCCCCAGAGTATTCTATAATTCTCTGTGGTGCCCTGCTTTTCAAAAACTCTTACTTCTTTTAATGCATCTGACTTCAGCTCATCAAGAGAAACCTGTCTGAATTACTTCAGACTATATCAGAATATTTTTCATGAAGAGATAATAATTTGTAAGTTATCCTAAGCTCTCTCCTCAGCTTGATATGTAGCCCTGCTTTCATAATTTTTTTTCATCTTTTTACTTCTGAACAGAGTACAGAAGTTCTTACCCTTATGCAGTGGACTCCTCATTAGTGAAAGAGGGGATTGTTGTTGTTAAATCAGAAACCGTATTACAGGGATTTAAAATAGCATGTAAGAGAGAATTATATTTGTCTTGCAAATTACTATATTTGCTTTTCTTTTCCATAGTTTCATGTTTGATGAACCTTCTAGTTACCTAGATGTCAAGCAGCGTTTAAAGGCTGCTATCACTATACGATCACTAATAAATCCAGATAGGTAAGTACAGATTTGGTATATGTCTATATTATTTTAATTAGGAGTTATACAGTTTTCTGAAGATCATCAGTGGGATCATCAGTGTCATATACATTTGTATGTTTTCTCTTTCAGTTATTTAGAGCTACCACTTGAAATTACCTTCTTCTATCTAGAACAGAGGGTCTTAATGCTAGATTTATTTACCACTATGCCTGTCTCCAGGTAGCCTAGGGATACTCTGAAATGATACGAAAGTTCGGGTGTCCATGTATATATTTCTAGGAGGCAGATCATTAGCTTTTACCAGATCCTCAAATGGATTAAGTCACTCAAACACACAAAATTTAGAACATTATAAGGATCACCAGAGTAACTCCGGTTGTTTAGGGTCTTGCTGAACTCCAAAGGGTTCTTAACCTGTTAAATAATCACAACAGCTTTGGTTTATGGGATATTTCTGTAATTTGCAGAATTTTTAAATCCATTCTCTCCTTTGAGCCTCATAGTAATCTTGTGTGTTAGACTCTTAGGTGGTATTTCCATTTGGTAAATGAAGAAGTTTAATGTCAGAAATGGTAGTTATCTGATGTAGGTTTACAGATTTACAACATAGCAAAGCTGTTGACAAAACCCACAGATCTTTTCCTGTGTAGTGTTTTGTATGCCTCTTTCTATCAGTGACTGATGTAACACACAGCCAATATAAGAATGCAGGAGAAATCCCTAGGGGTCAAAACCAAAGAGAGAATGAAATTAAAGAGAAGAGACCAAGATATAGGTTTCTTGAGGGATGTTGCCTATCTGTAATAACATTAATAACCTCTGTTGTAATTAATGTAATTAGCAACCACTCAAGAGTAGGAAACAAAGCCTTGTATATTAGATTGTCACATATAAAATGCCAGGACTTTCGAATAATTGCTTTATCAGGGCGCCTGGGTGGCTCAGTGGGTTAAAGCCTCTGCCTTCGGCTCAGGTCATGATCCCAGGGTCCTGGGATCGAGCCCCACATTGGGCTCTCTGTTCAGCAGGGAGCCTGCTTCCTCCTCTCTCTCTGCCTGCCTCTTTGCCTACTTGTGATCTCTGTCTGTCAAATAAATAAATAAAATCTTAAAAAAAAACCAAAAAAAACAAAAACAAAACTGCTTTGTCAGCAAAACACAAGCACGTGAAGATGTCAGGGAAGCATATCTCACTCACTGAACTCATTGAGAGTGGAGGGGTGTCTCCCCTTCAAATATATTCATTGACCAGCAGTTCACATGGATATGGAATTAAAATTTATATAATCAGGGGAGTTTAAACTCTTCATAGTAAGAAAGTAACATAGAAAGAGCATCCTAGAATCTTTACTCATGTGGATGCCTAGCAGAAGCAAGTATAAAACCACATTGTAGGGATGTGCCCTCAATCCTAGTCATCCAGGGTTCCTACAAGAAAAGACTCGTGATCCAAATAATAATAGGAAACGATTTGAAAGTTAATTAGTAGACACAACAGACAATAGGATTAGACCTTCAAGAATGTCTCAGGTGATATTCTCAAAGAAACTATAAAACAGTAGTATCTAAAATATAAAAGGATATAAAATCGTAAGAATATGGTATCAAAAAAAAGCAATAGGTAAATGTTCAAAAAACTCAAACAGATTTAGAAGTTGGAAGTACAACTGTGATATTAAAAACTCACTGGACAGGGATACCTGGGTGGCTCAGTCGTTAAGCAGCTGCCTTCGGCTCAGGTCATGATCCCAGGGTCATAGGATCGAGCCCCACATTGGGCTCCCTGCTTGGCAGGAAGCCTGCTTCTCCCTCTGCCCTCCCCCTGCTTATGTTCTGCTCTCCCTGTGTGTCTCTCTCTCAAATAAATAAATAAAATCTTTAAAAAAAAGACAACTCATTGGACAGCTCAGACAGGTTAGGGACAGCAGAAAAGATCATTAGAAACCGAAAAGTTGATCGTGCAAGTTACCAGAATGAGCAGATTGAGAATGGGATTGAACTCTGATGGAGTTCAGAAGGGAGGTTTAGAGAATGGAATGAGAAGACTGTTTACATATATTTTAATAGGAGTCTGAAAAATAAAGCCATAGCAAGGTCATGGCTGAAGGTACAAATGATCCCCATACATACTTTGAAATGAAACTTAAAATTTATCAGTGATAAAGAGAGTGTTGTGCCAAATAGTAGCTGTAATTTTTACTTCATATGTAGGCCTGGACATTATGATAGACTCTTTGAGGAATATAAGAATATAACATGTAAGTCCTAGTATTCAAAGACTTAACAATTGATAAAGAAAAGAATATACAGGGGCACCTGGGTGGCTCAGTGGGTTAAAGCCTCTGCCTTCGGCTCAGGTCATGATTCCAGGGTCCTGGGATCAAGCCCCACATCAGGCTCTCTGCTCAGCGGGGAGCCTGCTTCCCTTCCTCTCTCTCTCTGCCTGCCTCTCTACCTACCTGTGATCTCTGTCAGATAACTAAATAAAATCTTAAAAAAAAAAGAAAAGAATATACAGGCAGTCAAATCAGTGATTCTCAACCCTCGCCCCTTTTCATAAAATATTTTTATATCCCTTTATTATGAAAATCTTGGATAATACCTATTTTCACACATAATTTTCTTTTAAATATCACATAACATCCTAACCATAATAAAAAGAACTAAAAGGAAAGTGATTTACATCCAGGTGACATACATCTTAATATGTAAATGTTCAGGGGGCACCCAGGTGGCTCAGTCGGTTAAGCCTCATCTGACTCTTGGTTTCGGCTCAGGTCATGATCTCAGGGTCGTGGGACTGAGCTCTGCATCAGGCTCCATGCTTAGCAGAGTCTGCTTGGGATTCTCCCCCTCTGCCCCTATCCCTGCTCATACATGTTCTCTTTCTCAAATAAATTAATAAATAAAATCTTAAAAAAATATGTGTTTAGGCATTTTCAATGCTGTATTTTTAGAGGGCACTAGCCATAATTGTAATAGACTAACATGTCAAAACAAATTAGATTGACTAAGTGAAGAGAATGATTGAGTTAAACATTTTCACAACTGTCTTGGATGTTATTTATAGATAAAAGGGTTAAAGTAATCTCTTCGTGATAGATTCATGAAAAAAAGTGACAAGTATATGCATCCTGAAATTCTGTGACATGTCAAGGCAAAGTCTTAATGCTGTAAAAAGATTTCAGAGATCATATCCTTAAAACAAGAAGTAGAGCATGGATTGGAGAAAGGACACTAATACACAAGATTTTTTAGCATTTGACCTCCGAGAACATCTTTGGTAAGATTAAAAACCAACAGGTGACCCAAAATTAATTGTAGGAATTTCACAGCTTAGGTTTTTCTATGCTGCAGATTTGTTTTCTTTACAAACCCTCAGAAAATAGAGTGGCTCACTTAAATCTTTTTCACATTTTGGACTTCTCTGTAAGTTCCACTTAAAGGTAGCGATATCAGAAGCTTTGACCTAGTTTTTTTTCTTCTTTTCAACGCAAATCAAAAGCCTCTATATGATACTATGCCACCTTAAACTGAGTTGTGAAATTTTAATGGTAAGAAGTAGACAGTTATTCCAGATAATGGAACATTGCCAACAAAGATACCAAACTAGGATGAGTATTGGCTCACTTGCGTGGTTTGCCCTTTTTATTGATGATGCTTCTTACCAGTGTGGTAGAAATGATTTCTTTCCTTTTTTATTTTTTTAAGATTTTTACTTATTTATTTATTTGACAGAGAGAAAGAGAGTACAAGCAGGGGGAGTGGGAAAGGAAATAGACTCTCCACTGAGCTGGGAGTCAGCTGCCAGGCTCAGTCCCAGGACCCTGGGATCATGACATGAGCTGAAGGCTGACGCTTAACCAACTGAGCCATCCAGCGCCCTGAAAACATTTCCTTTTAATATTTTCTTTTCATAATTAAATTTGTCCCTTTTTTTCATTCTTTTTACCACCTGATACCTAGATTGCTATGATAGCTTTCTTTAAAAAGTCTGTGGTTCTTCCTTCTTGCCATATTAATCTAAAATGATTTTTTTTTTCTTATTCTAGACCTGTGCTGCATCTTCTAGCCATATGTTGCTATTTTAATTTTAATTGAAATTAAAAATTCATTCCCTCAGTCAAACTACACTAGAACATTTTCATAGCCATAGGAAATTCTACTGGACAATTCTATTTAAGAACTGAACATTTGGGATGCCTGGGTGGCTCAGTTGGTTAAGCTGCTGCCTTTGGCTCAGGTCATGATCCCAGGGTACTGGGATCGAGTCCCGCATCGGGCTCCTTGCCCAGCAGGGAGCCTGCTTCTCTCTCCTCCTCTGCCTGCCACTCTGCCTGCTTGTGCACTCTTGCGCTCTTTCTCTCTCGCTCTCTCTCCCTCTCTCTGACAAATAAATAAAATCTTTAAAAAAAAAAAAAAAAACTGAACATTTTCCCCCATTGTCAATTTAGCATAAATCCAAATTCTTCATTTTGTCATTCAGTAACTTTATTAAACATCACTTTGGTACATATCACAAGACTAAAAATCATAGAGGTACTAAAATGTACTATGTAGTCTCACTTCATAAAATTTAGGAACAAGTTGTAGAGATACTCAAAAATAGTAAAATCCAAATAACAGTTCAGAGTGAGAAAGGTTCAAGAGTTGCGGAAAGCTCATTTGCATATTAGGAGATTATACAGTAGGTAGAATTGTGATGGACTTTATAGGGTTGAGTAAGATTTCAGCAGGTGAAGATTTAAACATTTACTAGAAGAAACAGTCCTTAGACACATAGAAATGGAAAAGTAGATTATTCAGGAAACAAAGATCCATTTTTTAGTGTGCCTTATACTCAGGAGAAGTAGTACCTGAAGTTTTGGAAACTCTTGAAAGAAAGTCTTAGGATGTTAATTTGTTTTATTTGCAACTGAGAGCCATATCTGGGAACCTGAAAAAAATGAGGTTTGTTAAAAGTCTATAGCAATATTGAAAGAAACTTGAGAACCTGAGCAAGGGTTTAGGCAGAAAAAAAAAGAAACAAAATGAATACATAATACATGAGACATTGTTGAGAAAGAGTTGACAGACTTGAGAATTTAAACAGTTTATCATTGGGAATAAAATTAGTGCTTTTTTTTAAACAGGAGTAATGACTCAATTAATACAAATGTGGATAATTTTTACTTGTGTAGGAAACAAGTTGGAATTTGAGATGTCTATAGGACATTGCTTTTTTAACATTTTGAACTAACTCAAATAGGAATAAAATGCTGCATAAAAGTGTCATGACTTTTATTTGCCTGATAGTTTGTACACTAGCAATACTGTTCCCTACCACTTCAAAAGTCACATCCTAAAAAAAACTAAGAAAAAAATGTCACATCCTGTCCCGTCCCACTTACATAGTACTGCAGTATACACCTTTTTCCTTTCCGACCTTCACTAGACTTTATATCTAGAGAACATACTTGGATGTATACTTTTTTTGGTAATGTTTTGTGTCTATCCCTTGTTTTCCCCAACTAATTTGAAAATTCTCCAGTTAAGCTTCCTGTCATCCTGTTCTCTGCATCTCCTAATGCAGCTAGCATATGGGACAGGACAACTAGAAGGGCTTAATCTATAAGATGAATAGCATAGTCAAGAGTTTAGGCTACATCAGATTTAAATCTATTGTAATTGTTTTGGCTTGGTAAAGTTTATTTAAAAATGTGTTCTTTATTGGCAAAACACATTTATTTCATGTATCTAAATTGTTTCCCATTATTTTTTTTCCCCCTTCCTTTTAGTTTAGGAAAATAATTTGAAACAAAAGACTGATAATGAGTCTTATTTTAAAGAAAATGTTTTAAGGCTTTGCTTAATATGGTCTCTGCATTTAATTTTTTTAACATATCTGTTTTCCTGACATTTACACTGTTCTAAGAATTTAAATGTAATTAAATATAATTTTAATTTCATTATATGTTATGTTACATTTAAAAATAAAAATCTATATTGATTTGCAGATATATCATTGTGGTGGAGCATGATCTAAGTGTATTAGACTATCTCTCTGACTTCATCTGCTGTTTATATGGCGTACCAAGTGCTTATGGTGTTGTCACTATGCCTTTTAGTGTAAGAGAAGGTAACTTGAAAAATTATTTACACAATGCTGTATTCTTTAACTCTAATGCTTCGAAAATGTATTACTGTTGATATTAAGTAGTTATATGTTACTCTTTTATCCAAAACTCCAGTATTAATGGAATTTAATCACTCAACAGAATGTTTATATATGAGGTTGTAGCCATTAGTTGTTATTCACAACATTTCATTTTGGAGAATTTTCTGTCAGGGGATAGAAATGTTTTCTCAGTTTCACTCTTTGCAGTCTTAAAAGTTATTATATTTTGGCTTCTACAGCATCATTGTGGTATTTGTCATCTTTATCTTCGAAAGCCCAATACCAGTAGTGAAACTTAAAATTTATTTAGTGCTCATCTTGTTTTCATGTTTCAAATTTATCTGTAATCTGTATCTTAAGTTTGTAGATCTTAGACTGTCTAAAGGCCTAATAAGGTAGTTTAGTAAGTATTCTTTAAATAAGATAGTAAAATAGCTTCATAAGTATAGTTTTATTTATTCCTTCTACTTTCAGGAAAGAGGGACTCTCTGGCCTCTCTTTTCCATATCTCTTCTCTACCTAAGCAAGTTAGGCAAAAATAAAAACTAACCTACTACTAGTATCTCCTGAAACAAATGTCAGTGCATTCTCTACCTAGTATGCCTTTTTCCTCTTAATTTCTTTGCCATTTCCTTCCACTGATTTCTTCCTCCTCTTTTACTTTGTATTTCATCTTTCTTAGGTGTGCCTTCAGCTGTCAGTCTAGAACAATTAGGAACACCCAAATGGACTACCTATGTCATACTTTGAAAAAATACCGTATTTTACAAGAAGAATTACTCATGTAGTCTTTAGGTTGAGCAGGCTCTTTTTTTTTTTGAAAGTGATCTCTTCAAAGAGATAACTTTTTTGAGATACCTAAGAAACTTTGGTAAAAAGGAATTTATATTGGGTCATAACACTTTGCATAAAAAGGTAGTGGTAGCTTTTTTTAGTTTATAAAAAGTACATAAAGTTTTTAGGTTAAGATAAGGTGAAGGAATTGCTGTCACTTATCTATTTGTGCATTTGATATAAATATATGCATATGTTAAGGAAAAAGTTGTGAGATTGCCCAGTTTTCTTTCCAGTAGTCTGTTTTAAGAGAGGATATTAAAAAGTTATTAATTTTTTATTCTCCTCAATTTAGCAAGTACTTATTGAGTACCGACTCTATACCATGGAGTAGGTCCAGAATTGTGTTGATAATGACATAGGCAGGTAGCATTCACTCTTCACAATTCTAGTTATAAATGCCATGTCTAAAAGCTATACCATTTTAAGAAATGGTTCCTGGTGAAGTTTTTGAAGTTCCCCACTGTTAAAACAATTCAAGTAAATAAGAACTTATTTTCTGCTTTCTGTGAATACTGAAATTGATGCCATAAAAATGTGTGTAAAAGCTTTCTCTGAACTGTATAACTGTAAAGGCAGTTACAGCTTGAACTATCTTAAATTGACAAGACAGACATTGCAGTGGAAATGGAAAGGCTGGTTTGTTAATGATTTTTTGCACAGTCACACTTTCCTGAGCCTCTGTTCCCTTATCTGATAAATTAGGTATCTGGATTAAGTGGCCACTACGGTTTCCTTCAAATCTATATTCCTATTTAATTTTTGGTTTTAATTTTTTTGTCCTCACATTTATAATTTTTAAGTAGTTTTAAGATAAAAAACATGCTGACTTTTGGCAAGATCTTTCATTCGTTCTTTCAGCAAATACTGGAATACCTGTGTTCTAGGCTGAGGCTGTAGACCCCCCCTGATATGGCTCTCAATTCTAGAGGATATGAGTAACCACCTTAGGCTTTCTTTCAAGATCTTCCAGGCTTGAGCTACTATCTTTCTCTTATTATCTTAAATATAGGAAACAGTGAAAACAGATCTTTTCATTTTCCCAAATAACCCACTTTTTCATTTCTGTGTCTGCCGTTGTGGATCTTAACAGTTTGGAGAGATCCTCATGTACAGTATGTTTTCTTTCTGTTACTAAAAGATGTTTAAATAATAGTGTTGGGGCGCCTGGGTGGCTCAGTGGGTTGAGCTTCTGCCTTTGGCTCAGGTCATGATCTCAGGGTCCTGGGATCAAGGCCCGCATCAGGCTCTCTGCTGAGCAGAGAGCCTGCTCCCCCGCCCCCTCTGCCTGCCTCTCTGCCTACTTGTGATCTCTCTGTCGAATAAATAAATAAAATCTTTAGGGGGAAAAAAGTGTTTATTTTTGTATAGTGAAGCCAAATAAAAGGTTAAATGAAGTCTGTTCGTTACTCTAAATATATTACAAACCTGCAAAATTAATCTGAAAAAATGCAGTATATATTATAACTTCTGTTTGTGGTATCTAGATCTCATGTGAAAATGCATACTCATAACTTTATTTAAAAAATTATTCCCCAAATTATATCTTTACGTCTGAAAATATTCCATTTTTAACTGTCATTTTTTTCAGAGAAATTAGAAGTTTTGATTTAAAAGTACAGCAGAAATGCCACCATATTCTTTTGCATAAAACCTAATGGAAAAAAAACCTTACATAAGTCACATCATAATGAAGAGATATGCTTTGTGTATATAGACAAATATATATGCATAGGTTATTTCAACTTGCATTAGATACATAAAACACCATGTTATCACTGCATGTTACCACAAATCCACAAAAATTTGAAATCTGTGCTTAGATTGCTCCCAAGAGAACCTAGGGTTTTGCTTTTATATGATAATTTCTTGCTTTGGAGAAAAACTAGTTTTTAATTGATCTTTACTAATCTTTTGTCAATGACTCCAACAGGCATAAACATTTTTTTGGATGGCTACGTTCCGACAGAAAACTTGAGATTCAGAGATGCATCACTTGTTTTTAAAGTGGCTGAGACAGCTAATGAAGAAGAAGTTAAAAAGATGTGTATGTATAAATATCCTGGAATGAAGAAAAAGATGGGAGAGTTTGAGCTAGCAATTGTAGCTGGAGAGTTTACAGATTCTGAAATCATGGTGATGTTGGGGGAAAATGGTAAGTTTTTCTCACTCCCTTTATTTGTCACAGAGAGAGAGGGAGAGAGAGCAAGCACAGGCAGACAGAATGGCAGGCAGAGGCAGAGGGAGAAGCAGGCTCCCTGATGAGCAAGGAGCACGATGTAGGACTCGATCCCAGGACGCTGGGATCATGACCTGAGCCGAAGGCAGCTGCTCAACCAACTGAGCCACCCAGGCGTCCCATCACTCCCTTTATTTGAAAGTCTGTTCTGTGGGGAGTGGGTTAAGCCTCTGCCTTCGGCTCGGGTCGTGATCTCGGGGTCCTGGAATTGAGCCCTGCATCAGGCTCTCTGCTCAGCAGGGAGCCTGCTTCCCCCTCTCTGTCTCTGCCTGCTTGTGATCTCTGTCAAATAAATAAAATCTTTAAAAGAAGAAAAAAAAAAGGAAAGTCTGTTCTGTTTATCCAGTAACTTAGTTTTAGCTACTTGATGAAAAACTGACTCAGTTGTAGGTCTGGGATCTAGGCTAAACCCATATATTTCTCAGTGTAGTTCACATTTTGTGATGTTGTATGATTTAATATTGTCATTCAATCAAGTTTATATTTTACGTATTTTGTTTCGTAACCTGTGGTGAAAATAAGATATCTTTTTTTCCCAAGCTAGTTTTTCTCTGTATAAATTGATAGGACAAAATAAATAATCCAAAAACAATCTAGTTTTTTCTTGGCATTTCTCCATTTGAGCTCTCATTTTAAATTCAGGCTCATCTTTGTAAATAGTTTTATTACCTAAATTCTCAGTATTACATTGCTGTCATAAATAGAGCTGTGAGTTGAATTTGAGTACAAAAAGTCTCGTATTGCTTTCAAGATTCGAAGGAGTTAAAAAATTAAAAAAAAAACCCACAAGATTTTAATTGTATACTTAGAGCTTGTAAATCTCTAGAAATTCCCTTGGAGGATTTTGCAATGTATCATTAACTGATGCATTCGTTAACTGATGGAGGAAATTTGACCAAGTCAAATTTGATGGCTTGCATTTGACCAAGTATTTCATATAAACGGATTTAAAAGGATGACTCCATCATAACAATACTATACCACTTGACAATAAATTGTGTTGGTATTTTAGCTAAATAATTATTTTAAAAACTAACCCAAGACTTGTATTTCATAGATCTACCATTTATTAAAATGGTTATTAATAAGATTTATTAATCTGTTATATTCCTCCCATTTAGTTTCAAATGATATGTTCAAAGTGAATCGTGAAAGCTTTGAGTATTTTTCTGTATAACCTTCAGAATTTGGTAATGTCATTATATATCTTTAAAACTAATTTCTTATTAAAACCCTGGAGTGTACATAGTGTTTTACTATAAATGTGAACCATTTTTCAAGTCTGTTTGTTGTATGTTGTGTTGGCAGGTACTGGTAAAACCACATTTATCAGAATGCTTGCTGGAAGACTTAAGCCTGATGAAGGAGGTACTGTTGTATATTGTTGACTGTTTTTACTCTGTCACACATGGGAAACTTTGAAGATATGGGTAATTATCATTGTCTTCTTTGTTTGCATTATTTTACAGGAGAAGTGCCGGTTCTAAATGTCAGTTATAAGCCACAGAAAATCAGTCCCAAATCAACTGTGAGTAACGATTCTGTTATTTGGTTATTAAAGGAAAGTTTATACACACACACACACACACACACACAGAGAGAGTTTTAATCTTTCACTGTATCAAAATTCTTTATTTTCTGTACAGTTTTACCAAAAGTGGCTAAAGAGTAGCATCAAGACGTCAGTCCTTGATTCCATTGTTAGGAAATGCTTCTAAAATCTGTTTGACATCTTTTTCCAAAATAAAAACCTACTAATGTGGGGGCATCTGGCTGGCTCAGTCAGTGGAACATGTTAGTCTTTATCTTGAGGCCGTGAGTTCAAGCCTCTTGTTGGGTGTAGAGCTTACTTTAAAAACAAAACAAAACAAAAAACCTGACATTTAATGTGTGTTTTATGCTGCATATAACATGAGCAAAAAACTAAAAGGCCACCTCCAAGATAGGAGAATACTCTTGCAAATTATTGAATAGTAAGGTACTTATATCCAGAATATATAAAGAACTTTTACAACTCAGTTTAAAATTGGGCCAAGGATTTGAATAGTCATTTTTTTCAAAGAAAATGTGCAAATGGCCAAATAAGCATGTAAAGATGCTCAGCACCATCAGTTATTAGGAAAGTGCAAATAAAACTACAGTGAGATACTACACACACACTAGGATGACTTAAATAAAAGACAGTAACGTATTGGTAAGGGTATGGATAAACTGGAACCTCATGCATTGCTGATGGGAATGCAAGATGTTATGGTATAAGAGCCACTTTAAAAAAAGCTTGACAGGGACGCCTGGGTGGCTCAGTTGGTTAAGCAGCTGCCTTCGGCTCGGGTCGTGATCCCAGCGTCCTGGGATCGAGTCCCACATCGGGCTCCTTGCTCTGCAGGGCACCTGCTTCTCCCTCCGCCTCTGCCTGCCATTCTGTCTGCCTGTGCTCACTCGCTCTCCTTCTCTCTCTCTGATAAATAAATAAAAAATATTAAAAAAAAATAAAAAATAAAGAAAGAAAGCTTGACAGTTCCTCATATGATTAACATAGAGTTACATATGAACCAGCATTTCCACTCCTAGTTACACATACCCAGGAGAAATGAAGACCTTTCTCAACACAAAAATTTGCACACAAATGCATTATTCATAATAGTCAGAAAGTGGAAAACCATCTCAATGTCTGTCAACTGATGAATGGGTAAACAGTGTGGTATATCCCTGAAATTGGAACTATGGTACTTGTACTCAGTACCTCTTTGTCAGGCCTATTTGAGATAGCTTACAATAAAAATTTTATTTTTGATACTTTGTATAAGCTTAGCTTTTAAGTTCTCAGACTCAGCCCTCTTCAAAACAACAAGCACAGGACATCTTAAGATTCATCCCCATCATGTTAGGCATTTTGTGTTATCTTTCTGATTGCCAGAGGGTACTTGATACCCATGCTGACCTTGAGAATTATTCCTATTCTCAAATGATAATCTTTCTTGAAACAGTCATCATTTACTACTTTCAGATTTTAAGATGCTTTTTTTACTTATTGGACATGATGGGTTTTTAACATTAAAATTTCAGAACACGCTATAGATGATGAATAAGCATAAAAATATATCTGTGGGTGGCAAATTGATATATTTTTTTGCTCTGGAGCTTGGCTTTGTCAAGATAATTAGAGGAGTTCTGTACTGAAATAAAATTTCAATACTTTTCTCACTAAAAACAGGGAAGTGTTCGACAGTTGCTACATGAAAAGATAAGAGATGCTTACACTCATCCACAATTCGTGACTGATGTGATGAAGCCTCTGCAGATTGAAAACATCATCGATCAAGAAGTACATACTCTGATTTTTATTGTATTTTAAACTTTGTATGTCTCTACGTAGTTTGCTAAACAACTTCTCCAAATAGGTGCAGACATTATCTGGTGGTGAACTGCAGCGAGTGGCATTGGCACTTTGTTTGGGCAAGCCTGCTGATGTCTATTTAATTGATGAACCATCTGCGTATTTGGATTCTGAGCAAAGATTGATGGCAGCTCGAGTTGTCAAACGGTAATGTCCTGCCAGTAAGAGTATTAGTTTTAATTATGTGCGATGGCATACAACGGTGCTAAATACAGCATTTGAATAGTTGGTAACAGAAAACTGGAAACATTTTCAAATTCATGTATTTTAGTTTCATACTCCATGCTAAGAAGACAGCCTTTGTTGTAGAACATGACTTCATTATGGCCACCTATCTAGCAGATCGAGTCATCGTTTTTGATGGCATTCCATCTAAGAACACAGTCGCAAACAGGTAAAATGATTTTCTGAAACGTTCAACCCTATTTGTAAGCTCTTACAATTAAAGTTATTACTCAAAAATTTCCTTTGAGCTTATAAACACTTATCATACCATTTTAATTTTTAAAGAGGTAGCCAGTAATTCTAGGAATGATTGTGACTTGCATGATTATTCATGTTGAATATATACTGGTTGGGACTGGAAAAACTAGTGTTCAGACCTTAGAACTCCTGACCCAGGGAGATAAGCATGCAGAGCTCTGGGCTGCTCACGTTTTCTTGCAACTTAACTTCTGTCTACTTCATTATTTGGATTTTCAAAACAGATTAGGATGTTGATTCCCTGAAAACCACTGATGCTCTATACAGCAGATAAAGAAAACAAGATGCTCATAGGTTACTTGATTTTGTCCACAACTTACCCTGCTAGTGGTAATGCTCACAGTGGATCCCAAATATCTGGTACTGATCTACAACAGAGACAAAATGAATGATTTTACCATTTCCCCTTTTTTCTTTTTCTTTATTGGCTTGAATGAGAGCATTTGTCATATAGAGAAGTCTAACATTCAAATCAGCGTAATGAGAAATTTCTTAGACTTTTTAGTGCTGCAACCTTATGTTAGTTTGAAACATATGGAATTACTGATATGCCACCATCTTTTTCCTATGAAAGTAGCAATTTCATGTGATTGCAACAGGTTTCTGATATTAAAGAGGGAGGAATGGAGTTGCTATTTGAATAATTCATCCAAAAATGTGTAAGAGCTTAACTTCCCAAAATTCCTTTGTTTTCATTTTAAAGTTTTTACCAATTGAGAATTAACATCTTACTTTGAGAGGGAAATTTCATAGACTATAGAAAGCTTATTAAATTCAAATAACAATCCTTTATATTTACAAAAATGTTTAAAATGTTCCACAAGTATGATGCAGTTTAGTATGATTTAAGAACTAGTTTGGGTAAAAAAGATGAATAAAGGAGTTACAAGGTATAATAAATCCTTTGTGCTGTACATACTCCCTCCAGTGCCAAATTTCTGATGTTCATGTTACCTTTTCTGTTAGATTCTCTACTCCCCTGAAAATGTCAGATTGGAAATTCTGTAATCTCCTAATTAATCTTTTGTTTTTCTAAAGTAGTATTTCTTAAATGTTTCTTTTTCCAGATCAGAAACATAGTTTAAACTGGGTTTGTTTCACACAAAAATATAGCCAAATAAACTAAACAGTCCAAGCAAAGACCCTTCTGAGTGTAGAATTTATAATATGCTATGATTATACTATTACCTAGAGAACTTGTGATCAGGGAACTATGAGGGAACCATGCGGCTCTTCATCACAAAATGTAGTGAAATTTGTGGGATAAATTTTAATCACAATTGATGTCTTATTTTTCCTCTAGTCCTCAAACCCTTCTGGCTGGCATGAATAAATTTTTGTCTCAGCTTGAAATTACATTCAGAAGAGATCCAAACAACTATAGGCCAAGAATAAACAAACTCAATTCAATTAAGGTAGGTAGAAAAACTCTTAAATCATGGATAATTTCTGACAAATAATCGGAAGGCATGTTTCATATTGGAAACCTGTTTCATAAAAAAAAATTGTCATTTCGTTAATTCTAAGATTCATATTTTTCACCTGAATATCTGATGGCAGCCTTCAGTCTGGTAGGCAGTAATGATGCAGTTGCTTTTGCTACGCAAACTCAGACCTGTTCATGTTATCTTGGAGCTGTACCCCCACTACTGTACTGCCTGTGTTGAGTTTAATTGCCATTTTAAATATCTTCAGAAAGATTACACTAACTCACTGTCAAAACAAGGAAGTTTTTACAGAAAACCATGACCACTCTCTCATGTTTTTCTTCTAGTGCACACACAGCAACCAACACCTGATTAAAATATTTTACAAATCCAGACATGCTCCTTCAATGAGCATAAACTTCTACACAATGGAAAAACATTTTGTCAGTTTAATTGGCAGTATTTTCCTTTCTTTGTGATATATAAAGTTATTAATTATGCCCCCTGCAATTAATGGAGTGTGTGCAACAGTTTTTTAAGAAAGCAATAATTTCTTGGCCACTCAGAAAAATGAATTAACTGTAAAAAAACTTCTGTGTTTTTGTCTCCTGTGGTGTCTACTTAAAATGCTTATGTTTCATGGCCCTCTAGCTCTTGTCCTTAATACTAGCATTTACTAGATTATTTTCATATTTGTACTCTAGCTTTGCTAGTAAACTATAACCTTAGAAAGCAGAGACCAGGTCAATCAGTATACATCATGTATTCTTTTTTTTTTTTAAGATTTTATTTATTTATTTGACAGACGGAGATCACAAGTAGGCAGAGAGGCAGGCGGAGAGAGAGGAGGAAGCAGACTCCCTGCTGAGCAGAGAGCCTGATTCGGGGCTCGATCCCAGGACCCTGAGATCATGACCTGAGCCGAAGGCAAAGGCTTTAACCCATTGAGCCACCCAGGTGCCCCACATCATGTATTCTTAAGAGGCTGACACAGTGGATTGATGTCTTCAGACTTTGCTGTGTATTTTGTTTAAAAATTACTGTCTGGTCAGGATAATGAAATTACAAGTTCTGACTTGAAAAGTTCTTGTTTTAAAAATCATATTAAGTAGAAAAGAGGAACTAAATTCTACAACACTTATGCACAGCTTAATTTTCCTAAGAATTCCTTCCAAAGTGTTAACAAATGTTATATTTGTCTTTTTCTTGTGTAGAAACCCATGGTTCTGGCCCCAGATATACCTAGTCATCATTCCTCTGTGCCCACTCATCTTAGTCGTCATACCTTGATCCTAATAGGAAACTCCTAGGCAGATAGGTGGATGGATCATTACTGGCCAGTCTATAAACAGTACTGGGAAAAAATACTTTTATATGCACTTTGTGTAATAGTTCTCAAACTGACAGTGTTAACCTTCTGGACTAGAGGCTTGTTAAAGTCAAAATGATGAGGGGCGCCTGGGTGGCTCAGTGGGTTAAAGCCTCTGCCTTCGGGTCAGGTCATGATCCCCGGGGGTCCTGGAATCGAGTGCTGAGTCGGGCTCTCTGCTCAGTGGGGAGCCTGCTTCCTCCTTTCTCTGCCTGCCTCTCTGTTTGTGATCTCTGTCAAATAAAAATCTTTAAAAAATAAAGTCAAAATGATGAAAATGGAATTTAATAGTTTAGCTGAAAATAGCATTTTATATAAGCAAAATTTTACATACATAAGTAAGGCATTTTATATAAAGGGGCTTTGCTTGAGGTGGACTAAGGGAATTTTCTGGTGGTAGGGATAAGTAACAGAGGTCCTAATCTTGTCTTTGATTTAGTGGATCCAGGAATATCCAGATGCAGACAGTGAGTGCAGAGGAGGTTGTAGAGGTGCTATTGTAAACACTGCTAACCAATACTGTGGGTGAAAGTCTACCCTCAACATACAGGAGAATGGTGTTGATTTTGTTGTTTCTCTTTTTTAGGATGTAGAACAAAAGAAGAGTGGAAACTACTTTTTCTTGGATGACTAGACTGAATCAGAATATTGAAAAGCCATTTCTTAAAGGAAACATTTATTGGGATTTTTGTCATATAAAACTTTAATCAGGTTTTATGTCCCACATACTCTGGAGCTTGAAGTATAATTTACTTAATGTAACATCAAAAGCCAGTTGTGTTGTAAATTACAGTCTGAACACAGAAAATGCATTTTTCTGTTCTTGATAAGGCCCTTTTTATGTATAACATTCTAAATTGAAGACATTTCAAGCTACACAAATTACCTCCAAGTTTTCATGATGTATGGGAAGATTTTCAGTAGGTGTCATCATATTCATGTACCAAATGCTGACCAGTGTTACTCCCTTTTAAAAATCTTGAAAAAGCTTTCTGTACTTAGTGTTTGCCAAATATTCCTCTATAATGAAACTGCCCTTGTTTTAAAAGCCGGTCGAAGACTCCACTAAAGAAATTTGATAAATAAACATCAGGATTATATTTGTTATTTGTTTTCAGTCTTTGCACTAGGTTTTCAGGGTGTTGAGACTTTCAAAGGAAGAGCATCTACTACTATAAAACACCACTGTTTGGAAAATGGCCATGTTCCCAACTTAAGCATTGTTTACAATGTTTTTGGTGCTTTTGAATATCTTTTGAGTATCAAAAGTCATTTCAACACCCTTCCCCCCCCCATCCACCAGAAAAAACCCTAACTTTACTATGAATTACTCAGTTTTAGTATTCCATAAAATTCTATATTCTATAATTGTCAAAGTAACATTCTTTACACAATTGTACAATCACTGATCAAGATTTAGGAAAAGCATTTTAAAGAATATTTGCTTCCTTTAAAAGTATAGGCTCAAAATCTTTAGAGCTGATGCCTAAGCATCTGTGTAATTTTAAACTTCCACAGATTTCTAATGGGCAGCCAAGGAGAGTAAGCCACTTTCCTAAAGGCAACATTAACGCAAACAAGTCCCCAGATAGCAATGTAAAGTACCTCTTGGTACCAAATACATTCACCTCCATGTTTGAATGTAGAGGACATGATCTAAATCTATTTGATTGGGGGCGGGGGGCAATTTTGGATACTATATGTAGCAAGACCTCTAAAAACTTACCCATATCTTTTGAGTTCCTGAGTTTGAACAGTGGGTTGTAGTGTGACACCACTTTCAGTTACACTTCTAATGCACTGAACTGGAACTAACTTATACTACAAGTGAGGAAAAGAGTTTACTAAATAAATTAATGGGGCAAGCAAAATAGAATTGGAAATTACTGAAGACTTCAGAGCTCCTTGAAACAAGTGTTACGGTGCAGACGGTGAATAGAAAATATGGTTTAACTGGTCCCCAATTAGGCCTTTTAAAAAAATAATTTAGGAGCAAGTAATCCATAAATACATGTTTGTGTGAAAAATTCAAACCTACTGAAATACATGTAATAAAAAGTTACGATCTCTCCTCACATTACCCTCCCAAAGGTTACCAGTGTTTGCATTTAATAATATATATCCTTTTATGGTTTTTTTCTGTGCACTTACCTAAGTGTGAATATGTAAAGGGTTTGTTTTGTACATAAATGGGATTATACTAAAATAAGTAGTGCCTATTTTTAAAGATAGGTTAAATTTGTGAATGATTATTTCAAGTATATTGAATAAAATAAGACAAAAGTTTTTACTTACTGATTCCGTATTCTGTCCTAGAGAAAGCACTTGTGATAAGAACACAGCTCTACTTAACTGCTGATGACAGAATATGTATTAGTTGTGATATTGTTCATGTAAATGAAAATTTTTTAAATATGGATTTAAGTTTTTATATAGCAATAAGAATTTACAGTTGTGCTAACATAAAAAAGTTTTTCTATAAAAATCAGTAATACCAACTCAGATACACCAACAGTGCAGATATTAGCTATTACATTTAGAAAGAATGCTCAATATGTCCTAATTGGTAAGTATCTCTAAATAGTCTAACACATCATTTATATGAAAATATACAAAATATTAAAATACCAAATATTCAAGACAATAAGCCTTTGGGGAATAACAACTTTGTTAAAGAACAGGTAAGAAATTGAGATAAATACACATATAGCCATTACCTTTTGAATTTTGGATGCTGTATGTATCAGCTGTTTAGAGATAATTTGTTTTTACATCTTCAATAAAGAGATAATCTGTACTATGTTCAACCAGTGTACGGCAATATTAACATAATTTTAGACTCTAGCATCTTGAAGCCCAGTCTCAAATCTCTTGCTTATAACTGCTATTTTGGCATCTGGCATGTAGTTTGTCTTCTGTGTGTAAAGAATGAAACTATTTGCTAGAAAGTAGGAAGACTGGATAAACTACTCAGTTGGTTCTAGGGTTTCTTTGGTATCCATTAACATTTAGATACATTTATGTCAAGCTCTCAACCCAGTGTCTGGCATATGATGCACACCTAGGGGTTCAGAAGAGAAACTTCTGGATTGGAGAGTCATAAAGGGCTAAGTGAAGGAGTAGGTAGCTCTCGGGGAAAAATAGCACCTATAACAACAAATGATAAATTTGCAACGTAAAGGCAGAATAAATGAAAAGTCGGAGGCAGAAATCAGCTTGGGCATGGAGATTAATAGAAAGGGATGAATACAGGCACTTGTAAATTTTCAGTGCCTTCAAGATAGAAATTTGAGGTTTTTACATACTCATGGCAGGGATCAGAGAAAGCAAAAACCACACTTACTGGAGCAGGTAGAATTATCAAGATAGCAGTTATACAGGAGCTTATAATTTTTATTCTGTTGTCTTAGTGTTTTAAGATTTGACAGCACAAGGGGGGGGGGGGGGTGGCGGGCAGAGAGAGAGCCCTATGTAGGACGCTATCCCAGGACTCTGGGATCATGAGCTGAAGGCAGATGCTTAACTGACTGAGCCACCCAGGCACCCCCGTTTTAGTATTTTGAACTACCACTTAACCTGTAATTGTAATTTGGCCTGTGAATTGATGTTTAGTGAGGTTCTATCTCTGAAAGTTCTGAGGTTTGGTGTGCCAAACACTTCCGTTTTCTTTCCCACCCAGTGTCCTACTCACCAGCACCTCTCTCCTTGCAGTTTGACTGGGTCGCATGTGCCCAGCCCCAGATGGTGGATCATAAATGGGCTAAGCTAGTCATGAGTCTCGGTGTTTTCCTAATCTCTCTTGCAGCTAGGCATGGCCATGTTGACCCAGATCTAACTAGTAAATTCAAAGTAAGCAGCTAAGGTTGCTAGTCTTCGCATTAAAACTGCTTAATTGCCAAGTGCCCTCCCCTCCAGACTTAACAGGAGAGGGAAGTGCATCTGTTTATTTAGGCTACGGTAAGTCAAACTGGTTTCCTGTTCAAGTAATCTCGCCTCCTTGGCTGAGGTCTGTCTCCAAAGGTTCTACATGAGCTTCTGCCAGGTGACCCAAGTGTATTACCACCAGCTGGGAGCCACTTTGAAAGAGTAACATGCTCAGTGTTCGGGATTTTTAGGTATAGGGACTTTTCACTCTTTTGACTGCCCTATTTAGTGGGATGCTTCTAGCTTTAATACAAATGTGTTAGTTCCAGCCTCCAACCTTGCATGTGCCCTAGTCTCGCTCAGACCTACACAGTTCTCAGCTAATCAGACTGTCAACCATGTCCATCCATCCCTTCTCACGGGCTGCAGCCTCGTGCCACTTCCAAATCTGTACCTCCAGTTTCTGGTCTCCATTTTTGGCCCTAATATGTGAATATCCCATATAATTACATATGCCTTATAAAATTACGAAGGACTTAAATGCTTTTACTGACTTCTAATTCAGAATTCACAAGAAATACGCAAGAAGTTACATAGTAATATGTACATCCCTAGGTGTACTAGTTGTTTTCTACTCCATAAGCAGATGGTTAGTCCAAAGCCAGTCTTCATTTAAAAGAAAAAAATTAGCTTACTACACAGAATTTTTGCTGACAGTTAAGTAAAATATTAAAAGGGCTAGGAGGCCATGAGAATCACACTGTTCATCTGTATTTACATCTTTGATCTAGTTTTTTTTTTTTCCTTAAGTGGGAAATATAATCACAGGTATGGTATGTATTTAAAAAGGATGGGCTTTGAAGCTCCAACTTCTAATAAAGTCAGATCTAAAAATGCTAACTTTTTTTTTATAACCAATGTTTGTAGCTTCACTATTCTGATGAATCACTGATTCACACTTTAAGAAGAGCTTTATAAATTTAAGGTTTATGCAAGGAAGCTATTTAACCTCCTTCTGTAGTAGTCTCATACTATTCCCTAGACAAAGTGGAAAGCAAGCCCTAATTATAGAAAGCTTTAAGAGAAACTATATAGAACATTTCTGGTCACTTGGTTTCACCTTTTATCCCATCCACTTCAAGTGACCAATTGTGAAAGGGCTCTACCAAGACACCCTTCTTGCTTTTCTCATACTCCACAGCTTCTCTACTGACTACGTGGGGAAAGACCGTGGCACTCACATCGCTAACAGCAAAATGCTCCCCCCGTCTCTTCCTTTTCCTACATTCCAAGGTTCTGCGATACTTCACTCACCTACTTGGGCACTCCCAAACTAACCAACTTAACATTCCCAGCTTGCCGCTTCTGTTCCCAGATCACCTCTCCGCCAAACACTTGTACTGAAAAGGAAGCCTTTCTTTCAGGCTCTCCTTCCCCGGTAAGCCATTTTTAAGACAAAGTCCATATAATAAGTAGATTAAACAGCATTAAGGAACTTGGATTTTCAAAGTGCTTAAGTGTACCTGCTACTTCAGTTTTCAAGTAAAACTTTGAATGATTTATCTTTCTTCATTAGACAAGTAATAGAGGTAAACTTCAGCGATACTGTGGGTCTTAAGGTAATCAATTTCTTTGGTTTCCCAGTGCATATAAATGTTTACACTACAAGTGTGCGATAATAGCATTATGTCTAAAGACAACGCACGTAACCTTAACTTAAAAATATTTTATTGCTGGGCACCTGGGTGGCTCAGTCATTAAGCATCTGCCTTCAGCTCAGGTCATGATCCTGGAGTGCCAGGATAGAGTCCCACATTGGGCTCCCTGTTCAGCAGGCAGTCTACTTCTCCCTCTGACCCTCATTCTGCTTGTGCTCTCAAAATCTTTTTAAAAAATGTATATATATTTTATTACTAAAAGATGCTAACCATCAAGTGAGCTTTCAGCAAGTCCTAATAATCACTGATAACAGTTCACCCCAACAAATATAATGAAACAGCTTGAAATATTCCAAGAATTACCAAAAATGTGACAGAGTGAGCAAATGCTGGAAAAATGGCATCAAGAGACTTGCTCAGTGCAGGACTGTCACAAATGTTGTATTTGTAAAAACAGCATCTGCAAAGGACAATAAAGCAAAGCAGCATAAAATACGCCTGTACTGAATACTAACTTTAAAAAACGTCACTTAATCTGTAAATTATTCTTAGTCTAAACATCCCATTTCATTTCATGA